TGTAAACAACCACAGAGATAAATAAAGTAATAAATTAGTTTTAATAAAATATGTGTAGAATTCTTAAGCAAAAGCAAGGGAAATTACAGTCCAGGAAGTTAACTATGCACATAGAACTACATAGACAAGTATGTTATCTACCTGTTGTCTTACAATTTTAATTTTCAAATATTTCACTACTAACATGTGAAAATAAGAGTACACAGACCCTAGAGGATGCCAGTGGCTCAGGCCTGTAACCCTAGTGTACTCGGGAGTCTGAGATCTTAGGAAGGAGGCTTGAAGCCAGCTTAGGCAGCCAAGTCCATGAGACTCTTTTTTTTTGGTGGTGGTGGTGGTGGGTCTTGAACTCTGGGCTTGGGTGCTATCCCTGCACTCTTCAGCTCAAGATGAGCACTCTACTGCTTGAGTCACAGCACCACTTCCGGTTTTCTAGTGGTTAATTGGAGATGAGAGTCTCACGCACTTTTCTGCCCAGGCTGGCTTTGAACCATGATCTTCAGATCTCAGCCTCCTGTGTAACTAGGCTTACAGGTGTGAGCCACCGGCACCCAGCTTTCCATGAGACTATCTCCAATTAACCACCAAAGAGCTGGAAGTAGAGCTCAAATGGTAGAGCACTAGCCTTGAACAAAAAAGCTAATGAACAGTGCCCTGCCTTGAATTCAAGTCCCAGTACTAGTGCACACATATATGCTTGCGCACACACACACACACACACACACACACACACACACACACACAGTAATAAGATCTTGACCCTCTTCTCAGTTCAGCCGCTAAATCCCCTGAAGCAATCATTTACCCTTGCTGAGTAATTGGGATAATAATAACCTATTTCTGTTCTCTATTGTCATAGTGATCTTCCTAATATTTAGGCAAGGAAATGTTAATGCTAATGCTCTGAGCTTCTTTGAAGTTATTGAGAGGTCTAAGATGGCCGGGCTAATATATTGCACTTGATCATTTGGCTATTTATATTAAATATTATTTATAATATTATAATAAAAATTATATTAATTTATATTTAATTATAATGGTGCATTTATATTCACAAATGAGTTTCCCCTTTCCTGAGTCTGAATGTTTTTATTTATGTCCACTTTTGAGCTGAGATTGACTTCTTTCAGTATTCAGCTCATTTTTTAATTATTGTTAAGTTGTTACACAAAGGAGTTACAATTCCATAAGTCATGCAATTCCATGTAAGTGCGACGGTTCTTGGTGAATATCCGCGCTTCCTTCATCCTCCCCCTATTCACCTCCTCTCGACTCTACCCTCAGGCTACGTATTGAATAAAATGACTGCACTGGCTCACCCTTCCTCCCTCCATTCCTGAGCCTCCCTAACTTCTTTGCCCTCCTCCAGAACACGTTTCCACTTCCTGGTATTCATTTTTAGAAACAGTATGGTAGGTGTTCAGAGGAGTTACACCTTTGGATTCCTCCCCAAACCATGCCATCCTTTAATCAGTTTGTTTGTGAGTAATGCATTGATCCTTGTACATATTATCATGCATGTTTGTATTTTATATCTAGCTTCCACATATTGAGAGAAACTATGCACCATTTATGTCTCTTAGCCTGGCTTACTTCACTTACCATGATTTGTTCTATATCCATTCATTTCCCTGCAAATGACAAAATATTATTCTTTCAAATGGATGAGTAAAATTCCATTGAATATAGGTACCACCTTTTCTTGCTCATAGGGCATCTGGGCTATTTCTATACTTGGCTATTATGAATAGTATGGCAATGAACATGGATGTACAACTGTCTTTACAGTATCCTGACTTGCAATACTCTAGGCAGATGTCCAAGAGTGGCATCACTGGATCGTAGATTAGTACTATTTTTAGGGGATTTTTTGTTTTTGTTTTTGTTTGTTTCTTTGTCAGTTATGGGGCTTAAAGTCAAGACCTGGGCACTGTCCCACACAAGGCTAGCATTCTAGTGGAGCCACAGTACCACTTCTGTTTTTCTGGTAGTTAATTGGAGATAAGAATCTCACAGACTTTCCTACCTGGGCTGGTTTCAAACCATGAGTCTCAGATCTCAGTCTCCTGAGTAGCTAGGATTATAGGCATGAGCCACCAGCACCCAGCCTATGTTTAGTTTTTTTTGAGGAATCTCTAAACCTCCTTCCAGAGTGGTTGTACCAGTTTACACCACAGCAGCACAATAGGGTTCCCTTTCCCTGCATCCCCAACAGCATTTGTTTTTGTCTGAATTCTCCATGCTGGCCATTCTTACTGGGTGCGATGGAACCTCAGTGTTGTTTTGATGTGCATTCCCTTTATGGCGGGGGATGTTGAGCACTTCCTATGTGTTTATTGACCATTCCTACTTTTACTTCTAAGAAGTCTCTAACTCCTTTGCCCATTAGATTGGATTATTAACTTGAAGGGAGGGAATTAGTTTCTTGAGTTCCTTGTATATGTGGATATTAGGCCCTTGTCAGGTGTATAACTTGTAGAGATCTTCACATGGTCTGTTGGCTATCCATTTAGTTTAGTAACTATGTCCTTTGCTGGGCAGAAACCTTTTAGTTTGATGTAATCCCATATGTCAAGTCTCTCCAATTTGCTGTGCCTCTGGGATTCTCTTTAGAAAGTTCCTGACTATGCTAATAAGTTCTAATGTTTTTCTTACTCTGTCTTGTAGTAGTTTCAGGGTTTCAGGTCTGATGTTGAAGTCTGATCTATTTTGAGTTGATATTGACAGGGATCTAATTTTTGTCTTCTCTACATGGGCGTCCAGTTTACCCAACACCAAGTATTGAAGAGACTGTTTCAGCCCATTTTTAAGGTCTTTATCCTGGAAGCTGGTGCCTTAGGGACAGAGGCAAACACCCAAGAAAGCCTCCCACAAACTCCTCTGCTCACATAGTTAGCCTCTGCCACACCTTCTTCAACTTGCTTGCTCTTTCTCCCTCTTCTGTTTCTCTCTACCCTCAAGCCTGACACTTCCTTCCCTTCTTTTTCAGTCATCATTACTCGCTCTTATCATCCCATCAGGATTCTCTTCCCACCTAGGGCTTTCTAAGATACACTGAGATACACTGGGGCATCTCCTTCATAGTCACAGCACTCCTGTCTAGCAAACAGCACTGCTGGGTATATGTTCCACTCTTATTGGTAAGGACAAGACAAAAGCAGAGTCCAGCTGGGTGCCAGTGGCTCACACCTGTACTCCTAGCTACTCAGGAGGCTGAGATCAGTGGATTGTGGGTCAAAGCCAGTCCAAGCAGGAAACCCTGGGAGACCCATATCTCTACCAAATTACCAAAAAGAGCCAGAACTGGAGCTGTGGCTCAAGTGGCAGAGCACTAGCCTTGCACAAAAAGAAGCTCAGAGTCAGCTCCCAGGCCCTGAATTCAAGCCCCAGAATCAGCACCAAAAAAAAAAAAAAAGAGTCTACCAAGGTTACCCCATCATACCCCATCATTCATGTTTGACCTCTCTCCCACTTGGAACTCCTCAGCCAGTGAGATGGAATGTCATTTGCTTGGGCTCCTGTTTTCATGCTAATCTAAGAAAATCCACCAGCCTCCTTACCAGTGGACCCTGGCATTGGTGTGTAAGCATGGGATTACATTGAGATCCCTCATAGAATACCCTAAAAGAAACATTTCAGCAGCTATCCATTGGTTACCCAAGTGGAAGGACAATATCTCTGTCTCCTTTCCTCATCTTTTAACTGTAAAGTTTCATCTTTAATCTTCCAGGAAGCATGGATTTTCCTGGTCCTTTCTGGGGTTGGTTTGGTCAAGATGAAGTGGTCCTAAGTGAAGGGGACCAGGGTCTTCAAGGCCAACCAAAGGGAGTTACTGAATCTATGAAGTCAGGAATCTCACTCTGTGTTGACAGTCTCCAAGACCATCCTCAGGCTTTATGGGTCATGGGAAGGACTCCTGGAGACTCAGAAGCCTTGGTATAGTCGTTATATTTATGTAGCATAGGGAGAAGGTGCAGAGCCAAGGCTGCTTAGCTTCCCAGTATCCTTTTCCAGTGCAGTCTCATGCATATAGCCGCAATTCATGGAAATGTGTACACACATTGTTTTGGTATCCAGGTCAGACAGACAGGCAGACTGACAGACAGGTAGGCAGGCAGGCAGACAGATGACACTGGGGGTTAAACTCAGGGCCTGGCACTTGCTAGGATCATTTGAGCCACATCCTCAGTCTTCTTTATTTTAGTTCATTTTTCAGCTAGGGTCCCATGACCTCTTTTCAAAGGAACCAGTCCAGAGCCAGTCCTAATAACAGACCTTTGCTGAGAATGTGCCAGATCTGAGCAACTAGACCTGCTGGGCTAAATCTCTGCACGCATTCCTAGGGTCACATGACTAAACTTCTCATACATACCTCAGCTGCTACCTTCACATGAATGAAACAAAATACCTGAGGCATGTAATATATAAAGAAAAGTTTCACGTAGGCTGACGGTTCTGAAAGTTCAAGGCCAAAGTCAGCAGCTCCATTGGACCGATGACTGGCATGTCATGGCAGGAATACATATCAGAGTAAGAGGTCACATCTTGAGCCAGGGTCCCAGCAACCTCAGCTCAATCCTCTTAGCCTACTTCTTGAAGGCCCATAGCACCTCCCCATACACCCACCCTGGGGACCAAGCCTTTACCTAGAGACTTGTAGGGGGCACTGGTCCAAATTCTATCACCTGCAAGAGTCACATCCTCTCTACCTTCATGTGCGATCATTATGATTCACAACAGGAGCCTGGCCATTGGATGATTTTCACAAAAGGCAGGTTGTCTTCAGCAAGGACATTGTAAAGTGTCGTTGTGATGATCACAAGCATTATTATTCAGAGGCAGGGGCCTGGGAATGAGCCCTGGAAGCCTCTTCACTGTGTGGGAACAGGACCAAGGTGCTGCTCTGCTGATTCTGACGTCACAGACACCCTTAGAGCAGTGTCTGCCCCACACCGGTATTTAACCTTCTCCCTTACTTTTCTTTGTCTCTTTTCTGGCAGTGGCTCAGAAATCCCGGCCCCCAGCACGAGAAGCGGACTCTGTTTGGAGACATGGTGTGCTTCTTATTTATCACCCCCCTGGCCACCATCTCGGGCTGGCTGTGCCTGCGGGGCGCTGTGGACCACCTGCACTTCAGTAGTCGGCTCGAAGCCGTGGGCCTGATTGCACTCACTGTCGCACTCTTCACCATTTACCTCTTTTGGACACTAGTAAGTATGGCCTGAGGCCCGGGCTTCAGGCCAGCGGCAGCTGGTGGCCTCACAATGGCATGGTCTTCCCTCTTACCTGTAGCCCTGTCTCCTGCCCAGGCGAAAACAGAGCTTCAGATGCTGGCATGGAAGTATATGAGGGTGGTGTATGTGTGTATGTCTGTCTGTCTGTCTAAACTGTAGGGGGAAAACATCAAATTAAAAAGCACCACCAATCGTAGTGGGAACATGTCAAATTAAAAAGCATCACCAATCAAAGACACACACCTTAACCCTTTCTCACTGCTAGACTAGAACTCATCTGTTCTAAGGCATGGAGAGCTGTTGCATATGCTCTTCACTTCTGCTGGGATTGTAGAATGTTATGAACGATGTGCTTGGTCTCTGTGGCCACTGCCTGCAGGTGTCAAGAACCCTTCTGGATGGTTATTTTTGTCTTCCGTCTAGCCCAGGCTTAAGTCTTCAGTGGACCTGGCGTTGCACTTTCCCTGATGATTATTCTGTGTGTTGGAATTTTGAGTGTGTTGCCCATAAAAGCACTAATTTATCCAACAGAGAAGCTGCCACCAAAGAAAAGACATTTCCCAATAAGTGTTGCCTCTGTACCAGAAAGAATGTTCCAACATTTCTCTCTTTTCTTTTTCATCCTTCTAACTTCATACAGCAAAATGTTTGCTGTGGCACCAGTGGCAGCACACACAAAGTGCAAACCATTGCTCTGGCTTCCTGATGCTTCCCCTTGGGATGGCAGGGAAAGGCATCGCTGTCTTCTAGAATACATTCAGAAGCCAGGCCCCTGGCTTCCTGGGAGTACTCTTCTGCCATGTTGGCTTCTACTCTGAGCAACAGAACACTGTTGTTAAGCAGTAGGTATTTCCTGCCTAAGCTTCCCCATAGCACTAGAGTCGGCATGCGGAAGCTCTGGTACTCATACTCCCCTTCCTATTCGTTTCCATCATGTGACTCTGCCAGCTCTGTCCCTTCCCTCCTGGGAGAGGGCTCTGGCAATAAAGGGGGAGGGAGTACTTCCGTCTCAGGAACAGGGTCCTGACTTGAGCTTTAGAAAGCTGACTGTGTTCTAATGCTAGAGCATTGCCATATGTTGTGATCAGTTTAGACATTCTGCTCCCAGACGAACATAACTGTCAGTGCTTCCTTTAAAAATGTCCACACTTCCAAAGTATGTCCTGTTCCATTGTGAAGCAAGCAATAAAGTTGACCCGCATGTTTCTATTGTGAAGAGAGAAGGGTTAGAAATAAGAAATTAAATATTCTCTCTCCGGAATCACACCTGTAATCCTAGCTACTTGGGACACCAAGACCTAGAAGGTCAAAGTTCAGAGCCAGCCTGGACAGAAAAGTCCACAAAATTCCAGCTGCAATTAAATCAGCAAAATGATAGATTGGAGGCATGGCTCAAATGATAGAAAACCAGTTGTGAGCAAGAAAGCTAAGAAATACCTTGGGTTCAGACTGGTACAGGCACGCATGCACACACACACCACAGAAATTAAATAGTCTAACTACGTGTTGTCTACATCACCTTGGAAAGTCATTTGGCCCCTCTGAACTCCAGGTCTTTATTGGTGAAGTGGTGATGGCACTCATAGTGTATTCCCCCCAGAATGGTGAGACTGTGGGGAAAAAGCACCCAGAAAAGTACTTGGAAACTCATCATGAAACATCAGTTTTACCATATATAGATATTTCCTAGTCTATGATTTTCCTTTGAAGAGTCCTTATGATGAAGGATGGTTTGAGAAGAAACCCACAAACTGGGCTTTCAGACTCAATTTAAGGTCTTCACGCAAACCTGTTTAGCCAAGTATACATTTATCTAACAAGAAAGAACTGGGAGTGGTGAGGAGGAGGAAAAGAAATAGAAAGACAGCTTTCAGAGAAATGGATTCCCCTACTACATCGTCATCTCAGGTGAAAGAAAGGTTTGAGTGGGAAGCAGACCAGACTTGACTATAGTAGGCTGGTACGGTTCATTCCTTACAGGACTCCAACGGCCACTACAGCATTTAGAATCTACAGGCAACATGTTTAACCCAAGCTCTGGCATACTAATAGTCATATCTTTCTCTTCTTTCTTTCCTTCTTTTGGTCATTCTTTCTTTAAACCAGTACTGAGGCTTGAACTCAAATCTTTGTGCTCTTGCTTAGCTTTTCTGCTCAAGGCTAATACTGTTCTGCTTAAGCCACACTTCTAGGTCTCACCTGCATTTATCAGCCTCGGCTGGCTTCCAACTGTAATCCTTAGATCTCTGCCACCTGAGTAGCTAGGATCACAGGTGTGAGCTCCCAGCATTGGCTGTAACTTTCCGTCTTCCTCTGGTACTTGGAGGAAATCATTGATAACCACAGGTCAGTGGTTACTGGGAAGATTTGGTGGATGACATCTGAGAATATACATCCCAGAGCCTAGCCCAGCGTGTGTCCAGACTCATCTTCCTGTGTCTTCCTAACACCCAGTTCCCCGACCCTCACAAAAAGCAAAATACAGGCAGGAAAGAAAGACATTTCTCCCCTCTGACTGATGAGAGGAGCGTGCTTGGCACCCGCTCAGGAATAGGTTATTGAATACGGAAAAGAACTCCTTCTCAGATAAATGCTGCACTGAGCAGCGGTGGCAAGCGCCGTAAGTCAGGACTGACAGCACTTGGAAACTGCCCTACGGCAGGAACCCATTGTAAACAAGCTGTCAAGCTTAAGGAGAATTTGCTGTGAAAATGCCTCAGAAAAACAAACACTGTTTCACTCCCAGGCCAGCTCCTCAGAGGAGCTTTCTGGAAGGGCCTGGAAGCCGTGTTGTGAGGAGGGTGGGCAAGCCACACTTGGCCTCAGTGGCTTTAAGCCTTCTCCCAGCTCACGTGGCCACCAGGGCCCCACTTGACCAAACTCGAGGACCCTGCCCACCACCCCCCACCCCATCCCAGCCTGCTGTGTTCAGAGGTATGCCAGGAATCCAGGAAAGCCAGGCTGTCACCCACAGGAAAGATACCAGAAACATCACGGTTCTCCTCTGGGATGCTCAGCGCTGGCCAGAAGCTGAGTGGGCAGTAGCTGAAGGCACAGAGTGGACTGGGGGTTGTGGGTTCAACACCACGTAGCCGGTGCCCAGCACGGTACCTGTAAAGGAATGACCGTGCCTCAAAGATGACACCCAGCACATGGATTGGTTAAATTCTGGCTGTAGCCATGTGCCACTGGCTACAGTAGAAGCCTAGCTACTCAGAAGGCTGAGATCTGAACATTGCAAGCTCAAAGCCAGCCTAGGCAGGAAAGGCCGTGCACCGGTGGCTCATGCCTATAATCTTAGCTACCAGAAGACTGAGATCTGAGCTCGAAGCCAGCTCACAACCAGAACACAGTTTGAAGCCAGCCCAGGCAGGAAAGTCCACAAGACTCTTATCTCCAATTAATCACAGAAAAGGTTGGAAGCAGTATTGTGGCTCAAGTAGGAGAGTGCTAGCCTTGAGCAAAAGGAGCTCAGGGACAGCACCTAGGCCCAGAGTTCAAGCCCAGGACTGGCCAAAAAAAAAAAACAAAACAGAAATGGTGCAATGGCTCAAATAGTAGAGTACTAGCCTTGAGGGGAAAAACGCTCAGTGACAGTTCCCAGGCTGGCACATATGCACAAAAAGAAGATTCTTGTTGTAAATCAGACACTGGTGGCTCATGCCTAAATGCTAGCTACTGAAGAGGCTGAGATCTGAAAATTACAGTTCAAAGCCAACCTGAGCAGAAAGGTCCACAAGACTCTTAACTCCAATTGACCAACCAAAATCCCTAAGTGGAATCTGGCTCAAGTGGTAGAACACCAGCCTTGACTGAAAAAGCTAAGCAGGAACATGAGAACCCTAAGTTCAAGCTCTAGTATGGGTAGTAGTAGTAGTTGTAGTAGTAGTAGTAATAACAACAACAATAAATGCTTATTTAAAGGAGCTGCAGTAGAATGCTGAATTTCTCCCTTTCACAGCCCTCTTTTCTTCTGGGCTGCGTAAGAGATGAGTGAGCTAGGTTCATGGCAGGAAGGTGACTAAGCAAATGGAAGTCCAGACTGCACCGCTGCATTTAAGTCACACCATGACTTCCAGAGAGAAAGCTGTCCGCTACAAGTCACAGCAAAACTTTATTCGCCACAGCCTGGGTCACCTCCCTGATGAGAGAGGTGGGCACTAACATTTTCCTCCTCTTCTCCTTCTCACCCCTGTTCATGTGATTACAACTCATTGTAAATAAACCTCACCCAGGATAGAAAGTTGGCTAAGGTTCTTCAGGTGAGTAAATGAATATACTTCGGGAAATCCATCTCATAAAGGCTGGGGTATTTTTGCTTTTGTTTCTTTGTAATACTAGAATTGGAACTCAGGGCCTCACACCTTGTTTATGATACTCAACCACTTGAACCATGCTTCCTGCCCTTTTTTGCTGTGGTTATTTTTCTCATAGTCACCAGTGTTTGCCATGATCCTCCTACCCATGTTTCATGCGTAGCTAGGATTACAGATACACACCACCACACCTGGCTTTTTGTGGGGAGGGGGGGGGGGTCCTCATCCATTTTTTTCCCTAGGTTGGCCTTGAACACTGATCCTCTCAATCTCCACTTTCTAAGTAGCTGGGATTGCAGAGTGAACTCCAGAGGGAAGGCATTTCTTTTCCTTTTTTTAATAATGGCCAGATACCCTTTCTTCCTGCCCTCTTCTTTATTAAAGCCTCAAAATTTGGCTCCTAACATTATTGTTATGATGTGTTTTGGGTTTATGTCATTTCTGCACTGCCTCTTTATGTCTCTAAATTAAGCCTCCTTTTTTCTGTGATAACAAATTGCTGGGCGGGGGATTGTCTTGGAATATTTAGAGACAGGGCAGGCATTCACCTGGGGCTGCTTCAGACCCGTGCTCTCTCTCAGCCTGTGGCTCCGACTTCCTTTATTTTCCCTGCAAAGGAGTCATCTTCAGAAGATGCTTTCTTCTAAAAGACAGTAGTGGTTAGCAGCAATTAAAACGGCTTAGTGCGCACTCATCTGTCTGCACAAATGGGTTCTTTTCTTTTCTTTATTTTTCCTTTTTTTTTTCTTTTTAAATTTTAATTTCCTGGCCAAGGAACAGGGAGCTCTGCTAAGTCTTTGACACCCGTGTTCCAGAAAGTGGCGCTTCTTCAGCTTGAATGCTCATTGCAAGCACCTGGGATCTTGTTAGGAAGCGCTCTGATTCCTAAAGTCTGGGGGGGGGGGCACCCCAGGTTCTTGATATTCTAACAAGCTCCCAGGAGACTCAGCATGAAGCCAGTTCATGACCACACTGACAACTAGGCAATTTCTCTCTCTCTCTCTCTCTCTCTCTCTCTCTCTCTCTCTCTCTCTCTCTCTCTCTTTCTATCTCTCCTTCTCTCCCTCTCTCCCTCTCTCCCCCCACTCCCTACAGTACCCAGCCCCCTTTCATTTTCCTGTTTATCAAGAGTGTCACAAAACTATCTTCTTTTTCTTCCTCCTTTCCATATTTAACATATGAAAGACAGCAGGCTGGACCAACTGACACCTGCAGGGCCGTGTGCTGAGTTCTTTATGTATGTTATCTGGACTATCACGGTTTATCTTGTACCCTCAAAAGGAGGTGGGCACTAGGTGGAGGATGAGGAGGGTACCAGCCCAGAGCACGTGGCTCTGGAGCCTGTAGGCAGCTGCCTTCAGGCGCCTTAGCTTCTTCTGGAATTACTGAAGCTTGGTGTACACAGCTCTTCAGCATTGTGAGGAAGGAACTCTTGATTTTGCCGTCTGGCTTTCCTGCAGCTCTGCCCAGCTCCAGAGCTCTTACATGGCCAGTTCTTCCTTAGCACCAACCTGTGTTTTACTCTTCCCAGCCATCGGCCCTGGGCTCAGACCTTGTAGCACCAAGCAGCACCAAATAGATGGGAGAGAATTAAGCTTTGAAAAAAAAAAAAAGAAAGAAAACAAACAGGTCCATTTTGGCATGTTCAGGGCCTTTCAGAGAAAGCGCATCTGCATGGGGTTTAAAAGCTTATATTTCCACCCAAATGTCTCTGGCACTTGGCCTATGGCATGTGCTCCTCGCCTCAGAAATCCGAGTGGCCCTGAATTTCACCATCCAGGGAAGTTAATACTCCCTTTCTGATTATGGCCCACTGGCTCCTTTACTTCCAGAAAGACTAAGTTCAAAACTATGGGATCAGCCTACTTCCTGACTCCCATGGTTCCTACCTGGAGTCTAGACAACCCACCTACCTCCAAGACAATTAAACAGCCTAGAACTGGGTTGTTACCTTGAGCTCACAGGCTCCTGGCTTCATAGCACCGACCAGGGCATCTAATTAGAAACACTCACACAGATTTTTTTTTTTTTTGAGGAGTTGCACTGGGGTTCAAATTCAGGGCCTCTATCACTGAAACCATGGCTCCAGCCCAGCTTTTTGCTGGTTATTTTGGAGATGGAGCCTAGTAGACTTTTCTGCCCAGGCTGGCCTTGGACAATGATCCTCCAGGTCTCAGCATCCTGAGAAGCTAGATTTCAGATGTGAGCCACAGCCCCCAGCCCTGCTCCCGGTCTGTAAAATTCATCTTCAAAACTGTGCACTGAATTTTCTAGGCAAGCCAACAATTTATACTAGCCTCCCAAACAAACAGGTTCAAGTGTCTCATTCTCGGGTTTTCTATAAAATCAAATCTTTTGGGGTGGAGTTATATTACAATTGATCATAATTGATCACTGCAAGCAATTGATCACTGTAAGCAAATATGTAAGAAGGCCAAATTTGAAGCAGTGTTACAATGAGAAAAGCATAAGATTTGGGGGAAGGAGGGGCATTACTGGGGCCTTGAACTCAGGACCTCAAGCTCTCACTCAGCTTTGTTGCTCATGGCTGGTGCTCTATGACTTGAACCATGCCTCTACCTGCAGCTTTTGCCAGGTAATTGGAGATAAAAGTCTCTCATACTTGTCTGTTTGGGCTGGCTTTGGAGCTTGACTCAGACCTCAGCTTCCTGAGTAGCTAAAATTATAGCTATGAGCCACCGGCGCCTAGTAAGATCATTATTTTTCCCAATGATTTTTTTGCTTTCATTCACCCAGTAAGAAAGAGCAGCTGTGTCTGATTTAGTGTCTGATACTGAGCCAGGTGATGGGTGTGCAAAGAGGAATACAATAAGCACCAGTCCTGCTCTTGAGACGCTTCTAGGGCTTCAAAGAGAAAAACAAGTACAATGACGTAGAGGTGCCCACCTGGGGCTACCACGTTACACGTGTGCTGCTTGCCTGAAACACTACGAAGATATCCCTGTGTCCTAGGCCAGTGTGTGGAAGTATGGAAGTACATAGAGCTCGAGCATCTGTCTCCCTCACTGAGAGGAACCTGGAGGGCAGGCCGGCCCCTTGTCCAGCTCATGCAGCTGGACACGGGCTGCCCGTGGCGCTTTTCTGTCCTGCTGTCTCCAGCTATGCTGATTTTGCACTGGGGTTCGAACTCGGGACCTCATGCTTGCTCAACTGGTGCTCTACCACTGAAGCCCGAGCACCACCAGCCCCAAATCAAATTGAAGCTCAGAAAGAACCTTACATTCCTGTTGATATCCTCACAATGCCCAGTGTGTGGAGGAGCGAAGGAAGCCACCAGGCTAACCCGCCCTGGGCTGCCGGAGGCCTCCGTGCTGCCAGCTCTCAGGAGCTGCTCAACGTGATGCACTTAGTTCTTGCATTGGTTAAACGTCTACCTACCTTCTACCTATATACCTTCTCTTACCTTTCCCTCCCCCAGGTGTCATTTAGGTACCACTGTCGGCTATATAATGAATGGCGTCGGACCAATCAGAGGGTGATTCTCCTCATTCCAAAGTCTGTCAACATACCCTCCAACCAGCAGTCCTTGCTGGGCCTGCACTCAGTCAAGAGGAACTCAAAGGAGACCATTGTGTGATGGTTTTTGTGCGACTGCTTGGTTGATTCGTTGTTTGGAGATTGGAAGATTCTGCACTGGGGCCACGCACTGAGCTACACTCAGGCCTGTCCTTAACCTAAGGGTCTAAGAACACCAGAGCCATGTCCACACATTGCCCAAACAACAGCCTCCTCTGCCCGAAGAAAGCAAATGCTTTTGACTTCAAATCAAGGATGCTGCACTGGTATGATACTTGCTAAGCTGCCAAACATGTTTATTTAGCAGATACTGTATGGAATTTTCTGAACACCTCTTTAACCTAGGAGGAAGGTTGTCTCGCTCAAAAGATGCAATTAAATTCTTCCTTTTTTATTACTATTTCAAATATATATAAATATATATATATATAACTTAGATGATAATCAAGATCAAAAAACCAATGTAAAAACTGGTTTCTTGGTTTGGAGGGGCTTTTGTTTGGGTGAGTTTTCTGTTCCCCGGTTTCTACTGTGGGTTCTTTTGGGGTTATTTGATAGCCCGAGTGGTCTTTTTCGTGTCTCTTACTCAAGGAGAGATCAAAATGACTGCGGAACAAGTCATACTGAAAGGGTGTTTTGTACTAAACTTCATTCAGTTATTCCGTTTTTAAAGGGAAAGGGAGTGTGGTAACTTTCCATGCACCTGTGAGCTGTTTATTTAAATATCATTAAGGAAGGAAAAACAATATGTTGAGAAGCAAGCTCCTTGCAATTTGTTTGGTACTGACAGCTGATAGAAACTATTTTCTAATAATAAATATCCAGTGTGTGAAAGACACTGATTGCAACACTTTCTTTTCTTAATCATAAAACTTGTGAAGTTTCCCAATGTAGGTTTTAAAAAGAAAAAGAAAGGCTGGTGTTCACTCCCGTTTCTTTTGTGCCTGTCTTAATTCTGCACTCCTAATGAACTGGAGAATCATTAGACTTTTCTAGGAACCTGAGACTGGTTTTGCATATCAATTAGCTTCCCCATTGCTTTATTAAATTTCTGAGTTGACAAGAGGGTGTGCCAAAAAAAAAATAAAATAAAACTCATGTTTGTAAACATAGCTACTCAGGAGGCTGAGATCTGATGATCATGGTTTGAAGCCAGCCCAGAGAGAAAAGTCGTGAAACTGCATCTCCAATTAGCCAGCAAAATGTCACGCTGGAGGTGTGGTTCAACTGGTAGAGTGCCAGCCTTGAGCAAAGAAGCCAAACATGAGCACAAGGTTCTGAGGTCAAGCTCCAGTACCAACACAACACAAAACAAGACAAAACACTGTTCTAACAGCTGCGCTTAGTCTCAGACTCCTTTGGTTTCAACAAACAAACAAACAATCCCTACAGTGCCTTTTTCTGACCTTCAGCCAAGTCTGTCAGGGCGGGAATCGACTTTTGAAAAGGGCTTGGAGCCTCCTGGCATCTGTGGTGGTGGTGATACCTGATATGGCTCTGAAGCCAGGCAGAGAACACCAGCCTGGTGCTCCCTGGCTGCCCCCTAGGGCAGGCCCAGCTCGGAAAGCTGGGAATCCAGATTTATAGAACATGACCCACATGTTCGGAGCATCCCTGCAGCCTCCGCCTTAGGCTCTCCACGTGGAGAGCCAGCCAAGGGCAGAGGATGGGTCGGCTCCAGAAGCACCTTGTCTGCAGATGCGTGGAGCAGATGCAGGTGTTCCGGAGTCGGCCCAGCCCTCCGTTCACAGTGTGGCCGTGAAGGCAGACAGCTGCATTGGGTGCCCAGTTCCCATGGGCTTGGTGGCTTGTGATAATAGATTTCCTCTCACACTCTTCCCTCAGATTCTTCAATTCCAGTAATAGGCATCACCCCCCCCCACACACACACACACACACACACACATTGTCCCTCCGGGCATCATTAGCTGCACCACTATCAACGTTTCTCAATTGACCTTCTTAAAATGCTGGACGCTACTGGCTGCAAGCTGCTGTCACACTTCACACCACCAGGACCAAGAGTCCGGCCTGCTAGCTCGTGAACTGAGCTGTCTTGATCAATGCCCCCCCACCTCTCCACTGACTGGCAGGACCTTCATGAGAGGACCCTGCAGCCTCCTCCAGAACATTCTCAGCATCCATCTCTGCTGAATTTGGGTGCAGAAAATTCCACCTACTTTGGTCATGAGCTGAGATACAACGACAGTGAAAAAGTAGGCGAGAAGCTAGGAGAGGAGGCTCTTTTTGCCTGTTGTAGCTACTCTGGAGGTCGAGAACAGGAGGATCACAGTTCGAAGACCACCAGTGCAACACAAAGATATCAAGACCTCCTCTCAGCCAATAAAATAGATGGCGTGGTGGCATGCACCTGCCATTCCCAGCTGCACAAGTAGCTCCAGTAAGAGGACTGTGATCCTAGCTCGCAGGATATAGATGAGAAACTATTTGAAAAAGGACAAAGGCATGGCTGAAATGGTAACACACCTGCCTGGCAAGGAGAAGGCTCTGAATTTAAACCCAGATATCACATGTGCCCATTTGCATGCGTGTGCACGCACACGTGCACATGCACACGCACACACACACACACAGAGGCAAGTCCCAAGCAGCTCTTTGGGGCTCCAGGGCGGGGAAGGGTAGCACATTAGGACCATGTGTGTGTCAGGCCTCTGTCCCTCTCACCCCAGTTGAGTGGGTGACAGGGACACCCCTCCCCTAGCAGCCACAAAGAGCACTGGAGCCACCAAGGGAGGCTCTAGGTCCCAAGGTTATCCAAGATAGGACAGCCTAGGGGACAGTAACGTAAGTAGCAAGGTATGCAGTCAGGAGAGCATGGGACGCTGCCCCTCGGCTCTGCACCTGCCTCTTTGGTGGGGGGGGGGGGGTGGATTTCTAGTTGGCACAGAGACCCCAGTCACATGGTGACCACTAGCCCTGGTAACTGCTCTTTCTTTTTGAAAGATCATGAAAAAGAAAGCTAAATGTGGCAGCACAAGCTTGTAATCTCAGCCACTCAGGAGGCTGAGTTTTGAGCGTAGAGGCTCAGAAGCCAACCAGGACAACAAATCCAAGTGACTCTTTATCTCCAATTAGCCAACAAAAGTGCCGGAAGTAGACGTGTGACTTAAGTGGCAGAGTGCCAGCCATGAGCGGAAAAGCTGAACAAAGCCTCAAGACGTCTTGAGTTCCAGCTCCGTACTGGCACCAAAACTAAGAAATAAATAATGAAACACTGATGAAATGGTGCACACCTATACGCTCAGCCATTCAGGAAGTGGAGGTAGGAGGACTGAGATCTGAGGCCAGCTGAGCAAAAGCCCCAGGTTCTACCTGAGAAACTAAAAAGCAAAAGAACTGGCTCACGTGGTAGAGCAAGCTGTGGGCTGTGAGTTCAGTCCCCAGCACCCCAGGCAGAGAAAGGCGCGGGCAGGTAAAGGAACCTGGGGCTCTGACTTCTTGCACGGATTTTCTTACAAGGTTCTTGTTCCTCTACATTCCTGGCTGTGGTTGGAGTCCATTTTTCTTGAGAATGATTCAGTCATGAGGAAGCCTGAAGGGAAATCTACTCAAGTGCAGCACCGTCCGCTTGCACCTTCTACAGAGAGCTGAACAGACCAGTGCCTCAAGGAAAGGCACTTACTTCCCAGTGAAAGAAAAAGGAATCATTTGGAAGTGATGTCTCCCATTCCCCTGCTTCCTTTCCCTGCGTAATGGAGCCTGTCACCTGTAGCCACAATTCTTCTGTCTTCAGAGACAGTCATCTGGGACATGAGAAGGTCAAAGGAGAAGGGGAGGTGTACATGGAGCTTCACCTGCATTCTCCTTTCCTCCCAGGGCCTCCGGCCCCTCTGTCCGCTCCATCTTGTAACTGGGCCTGGGCCACGGCTCCCTCCCCACGCTCCAAGCCCCTGGCCTTCTCCACAGCCACGTGGCCCTCCCAGCTGCCCACCCTGGAGGTGCCCAAGGCCCAATACCCCGAGGAAGACACACAGCTGGCAAGTGAAATCAATGCTTCCTTTCTACTACCATCCAGAATGTTCTAGAAGCTGCCTGGAGATGGTCTCCACAGCTGGTAGAAAGTCCTCAGGCCCTACACTCAGAAACAAAATGGGACTTGGGCAGTCTGAAGGGACAGGATTCCAGATGACATTAGGAAGAGACGGCGGGACCCACAGTGGCCTGGCCGATGCCTGCCTTCCTGGTCTAGGCCACAGAGGATGCCCTGACCTGCCCAACATTCTGCTACTGAATCCTGAGCCATTGCAGATGCTCTCAAAACACATCAGTTCCGTCAGATGCATGGGCTCCCTCCATCCTCCTGGGGGGCATTGTGACCACCAGCAAGCTTCCCGGCATCTGCCTTGTCCTCTGCTCTTCTGGTTGCTCTGGGTGATTCTGGCTGTTCCCCAATGCAGTCAAGTGAAGAAAGCAGCCAGAGTCAGACAACCCAAGTTCAAATCTTGACGCCGCCCATGTCCCAGCTGCTTGTTGTGGGACAGTCCCCCAGCTGCTGGGCCTGAGGTTTTGTCTCTGCAAAATGGGGATACTGTCTACCTCACCCTGTACTGATTTGGGGAACTTAGCTCCCGGTACTCCATGAAAGAAGAGCGACGTCTTCCCTTGGCCCCTTTCCCGTTCTCTGTTGCTACCGTCTGATTCTCAAGGAACAATTTTGATTATCCATTTGAATGACCATATATAGTTTTAAACTTTTTTTTTTAAAGAGGGGCTAATCTTAAACAATCAACAGATATTTATTGAGCATTGGATTGTGGGTGGGAGAGGGCTGCAAAAGACCATTCTGGACATTGAAAATACTAACATGATTAAGAGCTTTGAATTATGTGGAGATTTCCTGAAAATGCTTATGACTAATTGAGACTTCATTGCAGATAACCAATTTGCTAGGTCTGGATTTAAACAACAGAGAAAAACAAACACAATTCATCAGTCATCTGCATTCCTAGTAATGAAGCAATTGTCAGTCATATATCATATATCTAGGGATTTTTATTTTTCGAAGGCTCCATTTCTATGCATAAAGGCAACAGGGGGAGGTGATTTGGAAGTCCTGCTTTGCTTTGAAACACTCTCTATTTTGGAACACATATTTTACCTACTGAGGTCATAACTTCCCCATCAAGAAAAGACAGAGGTCCAAGCAGAGATTTTTTTTTTTTTTGCATTTGAAGCATTATTTCCTTTTTTAAAAAACATTCCATTTGCTGACATGCATTTTGATGCTATTATTTTATATGATCATATGCATATGGGCAAGTGTGTCTTTGTGTGCCTCTCCTAAGAGTCTCCGCCTTTGGTCCTACTGTGCTTGAATGTCTAGAGTTCTGAATAATTTACCATGTCCTGATGTATTTAGATCTAGCTTCCACATGTGAGAGAAAACATGCTCCATTTATCCTCTGAGCTTGACTTATCTCACTTAACATGATTTGTTCTAAGTCCATCCATTTCCCCCAGTAGAGACTTTTATTTATGGGTATCAGATACAAAGAACCTATAATGATCACAGCATATCACCACTTACTTCGCTGGGACTGTGTGTATGTTCGTGTGTGTGTGTGTGTGTGTGTGTGTGTGTGTGTGTGTGTGTGTGTGTGTGTGTGTGTGTGTGTGTGTGTTTATTGGGGCTTGCACTTGGGATGGGTATCATCCCATAGATTTTTTTCCTCAGGGCTGGTGCTCTACCACCGGAGCCATTGCTCCACTTCTTTTTGGTGGTTAATTAGAGGTAAGAGTCTCACAGACTTTCCTGCTTGAACTAGCTTCAACCCTTAAGTCTCAGATCTCAGCCTCCGGGATAGCTAGGATATAGCA